TTCCTCTCCCTTTTTTTCATTTTTCCCTTTCTTTTTTTTCCATGCATGCGTTTTCCTCCCGTTCTTACTATATCATGCGTCTTCATGAGATGATTTAATCATAAGAATTTTAAGTATCTTGCTCTATAAATGGATTGTATAATAATTAACTTCCAATAGTTTCTTATTTACTTGAGAAAAAAAACATGATTTAAAAGTCATAAGTACTTAATCCATCTCCTATTCAAAAGTTTGTGAATGGTTTTTTAAGATACTTTAAGAAAAATAGAACCCTTAAATTATTATAAAATAACATTATCCAAACATTAGTTTGCCCTTAATTTATAACGAACAAACAATAATCTTATCTTTCAATAATATAATGCCCGCGCATCCGCGCGGGCCACCTTCCTAGTTCTATAAATAAGCTATTAGATTAGCTATAGATAAATTGAAACCAGTAGTTGGCGTATACTATTAAACTTGCTCTTATGCTAAACAACCGTAACTTTATGGCAGCACCATATTCGAAAAACCGGGTGAACCTAAATAAAGCGAACCGGACAGTGATTGTTATTGGAGCATTTAATTCAAGGTTGCTCCTTCCATCACTAGGAGGAAAGATAATAACACTCCATCCATCCCATTTTGACTAATCACATAGAGCAGGTACAATAACATGCTATTAGCCAGCTATAAATATATTTTAATAAGATAAACAATAAGAGAGAAGAGCAACAGGCTATAGATCTATAGCCAGCTGCAACACGGACTCCAAGACGCAATGTGTGTATGACAGGTGGGACCATATATTAATAGTATAGTAAGTAACTATTGTATGAATTGGCTATTAGATTGGCTATAGATGAATTGGAGCCGGTAGTAGGCTATACTATTAAACTTGCTGAGCATGAAGGATAACCAAAGATCAAAAAGCTGATTCAAAATTCTATTGCATCATCCGCCCACGAGGAATTGCCAAAACATTTGACTAGTGACTCATTCCAATATAAAGGACTAGTAAATAAAATAATATTTAGTAAATAGTGAAAATAAATGAGTTCTTAATCGTCAGCAAGTTTAATAGTGTAGCCCACTACCGGCTCCAATTCATCTATAGCCAATCTAATAGTTCATTCATACAATAGTTATATACTACACTATTAATACCTAGTCCCACCTATCATACACACTGCGTCTTGGAGTCCGTGCTACAGCTGGCTACAAATCTGTAGCCCGCTACCCTTCTCTCTCCTCATTTATCTTCTTAAAATATGTTTGCAGCTGGTTTATAGCCTGCTATTGTACCTGCCCTAAGAAAAAACACAGAGATCAAAAACAACTAAATCATTATGTAATTAATTCACATCGGTTAAGATACTACACTAGTAATGTATCCCATGGATTGCATTAAATTTTTAATATTGCATGTAGTTGTACCACCAATAGTAATTAATCTTGGTTAGTTGTATGCAGCGCATTCAATGATGCTAATTTACTCTTTATATAAATAAATAAAGATATATTTGTTAAATGATGATCATTTTGGAAAGATCTCAAAAATCTTAGCTGATGATCAAACTGGAATAGGAGGAGTATAAGTTACAGACAATATATATATATTTATATGGAAAAGAGATAACAAAAATTGAGAAGTGTTGGTTCTCATGTACTACCTCCGTTCCATATTGATCATCATATATAAGGGTGTGTTCGGATGGAGGTATTTGGGTGGATAGGACATGGCGGCCCATTTTTTGTGGTTGTTTAGTTGGTGGGCGGGAGTGGGATAGGACGGCACGGAGGGGAATTTTCCTCCCAGATGCCAGATGGAGGGATCCGGCCGATTTGCCCAGATGCAGCCACCCAAGTACCCAGGCGAGCGGGGCGAGTGAGTATCGTAGGTCGTGTCACCCCTCTCACCATGCGAGCTCGGCGGTCAGCGTGGAAAGAAGGAAGCTGCGGCGAGCCCAAAGGCAAGAGGCGGCAGCGAGCCCGAGAGCCAGAGGCGGCGGCAGCTAGAAGAGGGTGCGTCGTTGCCGCTGCCGATGACGACGATGACCAGGACGATGACAACTGGATCTGGAGGAGATGGGGTGTGCCGACGACCGGTTGGGTAGGAGACAATGATGATGACGACGAGGATGACCAAATCTAGAGGAGACAGGACAGCAGCCGGCGAGAGAGGAGGCAGGGCGGCGGCGGTGAGAGAGGAGGCGAGGGGCGGCCGACGAAGAGGACATTTTTTTTTATTTTTTTTTCCGTTTTTCTCCTTTCCTCCTTTTATTTCATTCTAATTTTTAGTTTCTATTTAGATTTTTTTAGTAGATTGGTATTATTTTGGGTTCATTGAATTTCAAGGGGGTATACTTACCACTACTAATGAAAGGGTGATTGCAACCACTCATCCATCCTACTCCCCCAACTAAAAAAAATGGATCACCAAATCCACATTCATCCTTACAACCAATTGGATCGCCATATTCACTCCACCAAACAAAAAAACCGGATTGCCATATCCAATAAAGTATGGACCGCCATATTCCATCCAACCTTGACCGGGAACCAAACACACAGTAAGCTTTCTTACCAAGGCAGAAAAAAAACTTAAACTGCCATGTATTTTATTTAATACATGAGTATGTGGTGGGGAAGAATTAAGAAACATGCATACTTTTAACTCCCCATTTGCACAAGAAACAAGGGTTTAACTACTTCTAAATGTCTATATGCATACATGCGCGCATACTAAATTTGCATGCATAGATACAATAATGTTGCACGTCAAATGAGTAGACCATGGTCATATGATGATCAATTTAGAATATCCAATTTTTGGTTATATAATGATCAATGAAATGGAGGAACTAGCTGTACACATTCTTTACGAAAATGCATAGTGAGGGAAAGAGAGAGCAGAGAAAAAATAGAGTTAATCTTATAGGTAGCATATCATATATGTTAGCTCTACAATAAATTTATAACTTATAGTGAGCTCTACTATTAAATTTGCTCTAAATAAATAAATCCATCTAGATTCATAATGATAGAATATGCTAAATTCAGTACTATGGCTGTATTTAGTGCACACCAAAATTTGAAGTTTAGTTGAAATTTGAACGATGTGATGGAAAAGTTGAAAGTTTGTATGTGTAGGAAAGTTTTGATGTAATGGAAAAGTTAGAAATTTGAAGGAAAAACTTTTGAACTAAACACGGTGTATGTTTATTTATCTTAGGACGGAGCAAGTTCTGTCGACTAACCTTTAATTATTTTTTTTTTAAAAAAAGAAACCACTGGCCAACTTGCTTTGCCAGCTAATCGTTGTCTCATTGCCACTGGCCAACTTGCTTTGCCAGCTAATCGTTGTCTCATTGCCGGGCTCCAGTAGTGCGGCTGGCCGCACGACTATAGTATGTCGTAGATCTGGGTTGGTGTGCGTTTCTCTCCTAAAATAGGACGTGGTCCTCGCAGTCCTGCAGATATACTATAGCGACATCCCGTGAAATGTACGATCTATGCGTTTAAAAAAAATTAGAATTATATCCGTGAAACGTACGATCTATGCGTTTAAAAAAACAAATTTAGGATTATATGTTATTTAAATTAGTATAACAAATCTAGAAAACCATTATATATTTGTTTATTAAAGAATGGAAGGAGTATTCCATGGTGCAACGCAAATAGCATTGCCGATTCTCAACTTCTTAGAACTCATAAGAGACCAGCGTTTGAGTCTACTCAAGATTAAGATTAAGAGCAGACACACAAAACAAGAAAGGTAATAGCACATAGTTAATTCAGTTTTAATTATTTGAAACATAAAAGATGGATTTATTTAATATTCTAAAGCAACTCCTGCATAGAAAGTTTTTGAAAAAAAAAACTATTTAGCAGTTTGAAATGTGTGCTAATGAAAACTGAAGCAAATTTTGTATCTTAATTAGGCCGAGTTTAGTTACAAATTTTTCTTCAAACTTCCAACTTTTCCATCACATCAAAACTTTCCTACACACACAAACTTCCAACTTTTCCGTTATATCGTTCTAATTTCAACAAAACTTTCAATTTTGACGTGAACTAAACACACCCTTAGAAAAAAATGGAACCTAGATCTCTAAAGAATGGAACCTAGATCTCTAGGGTACGAGTACCACTAGTCTACATTAAATGCTCTCTCTGTTTGTTATTTGACGCCATACTATCTTTTCCATCTCTACTAGTTCACATTAAGGCTCCGTTCTTTTTTATTTGACACCTTAGGCCGAGTTTGGTTCTAAACTTTTTCTTCGAACTTCTAACTTTTCCATCACATCAAAACTTTCCTACACACACAAACTTCCAACTTTTCCATCATATCGTTCCAATTTCAATCAAACTTTCAATTTTAGCGTGAACTAAACACACCCTTACTGTCTTTTCCATCTCTACTAGTCTACATTAAGGCTCTGTTCGTAAGAGGGAGTTCACAACTCTCCTCTCTCGTTTTCCGTGCGCACGCTTTTCAAACTGCTAAACAGTGTATTTTTTGTAAAAAGTTTCTATACGAAAGTTTCTTAAAAAAATCATAGTGATCCATTTTTGAAAAAAAAATAGCTAAAACTTACTTAATCACGTGATAATGGACCGTTCTATTTTCCGTGCGTAGACAATGAGTTCCCAACCGCCACTTACATTAAGTACCACACTCCAGGCCTCATCTTCTACTCCCACCGTCCCATAAAAACCAACCTAATCAAGATTAGATATACCTAGAACAACAAATGCCAAATCCCCACCTAGGTTAAAAGATACGGAAACTGCATGAGAACATATGTAAGCTTGTGCAATTACATAAGCTAGACCTTGAAGGATGTCACTATCTTGTCACGTTGCCTACAAAGAAGAGTAAAATGAAGGAGCTTCAGTACCTAAATGTTCTCAATTGCTACTCACTCACAGCAATGCCTCATGCTATGGGCCAACTTACACATCTTCACACATTGCTTGGTTACTTTGTCCCCAACATTGGTAGTAGTGCAATGTCAGAGCTTCAATCACTGCTAGACCTCAATAGACTATGGCTGTATTTAGATCCAAAGTTTGGATCTAAACTTCCGTCCTTTTCCATCACATCAACGTGTCATACACACACAACTTTTCAGTCACATCATCTCTAATTTTAGTCATTTTTCAAACTTTGCGCTGAACTAAACACAGCCTATCACTAGTGAACCTTGAAAAGGTTTCAGACACTGAAGATGCAAGAATGGCAAAACTTCAAGAGAAAGAAAAGCTCGAGACATTGATGTTGAGGTGGAATATGGATGCTGGAAATGCCAGTAGAATAGATCATGAAGTACTTGAAACCCTCCAACCTAACCAGTGCCTGAAAACTTTGGAGATTGTTGCGTATGAAGGACATGCATTTCCATCTTGGATAACAAGCACTGAGCCATATCTCACATCTCTGGTTGAGATAAGGTTGGTTAATCTGAGATCATGTGAAAATGCTTTACCTCCACTTGGGCTACTGCCATGTCTGAAGATTGTGGAGATAAGCCGAGTTTTTTTTTTTTTGCGAGGAAGTGGAGATAAGCCGAGTTGAGAATATCAGTTGTATTGACGATAATTTCTATGGTCAGAACGGTACATTTCCTTCATTGGAGAAGCTGATTCTCTCATTCATGACTAGCCTTGAAGTCTGGGAACAGTCATCTAGGATGAATCTGTTTCCTCGTCTTGCAGAACTTGTCATCATTCAGTGCCCAAAATTGAGAGCACTGCATATGGAGTTTCCATCGATTGAAAAATTGATTTTGTGGATGAATAATAAGATGTTGTACAGCTCGAAGGAAGGTCTGAGAGGTGTAGAGAAGAGCCTCGAAAATCTTTCAATTTCTTTCTGTGAAGAGTTGCATGCTTCTTCAGGCTGTGAGGGTCTACAGGCTCTTGATCGCCTCAAGAAGTTGGAGATATGTGGTTGTCATGAATTGTCATGCCTCCCACAGGGTTTGCAGCATCTTTCCTCTCTCGCCAGCTTGAAAATTGATAACTGCAACAAATTGGAGATTTTGCCAGAATGGTTGGAGAACCTACCTTTTCTACAGATAATGTGTTTGTCTGGCTGTCCAATTCTGCACTCCATTCCTGAAGGCCTAACATGTAGCGACATTATTGTTGAATATTGCCCCAATTTTAAAGAACCATCAGGTATGTCATCAGTGCTCTGTTCATGGAAAGCCATGTTTCTGATTTTCATTGAGCTATTCTTAAAGCAATTGAACTAGCTTTGATAGATTAAATAAACAATTAGTTATCCTTGCTATTTCTTTTTGATGTTCAAGTGAATGAACTCATGTTCAGTTATTAATACATATCCTCTTGAGTTGAATTGGCACGATATGAAGTTGTTTCTTTCAACACTTGTGACTTATTATTGTGTGAAAAACAGCTGCACGAGGGCAAACGAATAGTCGTCATGGAAGATTAGTTTTACATTAGTTCAGCGATTTAAGGGAAGGCCAATTTTCCACCGCTGATCTTAAAACATTGGTCAAGACAAAAACAGTGGTGAACTGGTGATCAGAAGCAGAGATTTCATGATCAACCTGTTGATCTGTTTCTGCAACTGGAGATTATTTTTAAAATTGAACTAGATTTCTCATTGTGGATGTGGTTAGAAGAGAGGAATAGTAAATGGGAACTCATGAATTTAATGCTTGTGAAGTGTAACTTGTGAAATTCTCAAGCTACTGTATCTTCAGAAATGCATGAGAATAAGAATGATTTAGGTAGCAATTTAGAAACTATCAATTTGCTCCTCTGAAATTCCCAGCTATATTGTGAGGCATCAGCAACATTATTAACCTGAACACAATAGGTTGGTCACCTGTGTAACAAAATGCCTCTGACATTATTTGGTTAAGCCAGGATTATCTTACAAAGGGGCGGTACCATGCATAAGAAAAAAAAACTAGTTAATACTCTGATATTTGCATATTTATAACACACAATATCCACATATAAATAACATTCAAGGTGCTTCAAGCTATCACAGATTAAGAGCAGGTGGTGACAAATTCATTAGTTAGACAACACCTGGCAGTTCTCACATCTCAGAACTCACAAGAGACCTAGAGGCTAGAAATGGAACAACTAGCAGTAATACACCATCATATACAAAGTTACAATTAATCACGTTCAGTATTAACATGTCATGGAAGATTAAACAGGTGCCGCTTCCCCTTCTGATGATGATTTTGACATAAAGGCCAGATCAAGGGAACATGCCTTCAAGGAACTCCTCGAAGCCTTCATCATTGTTGCTCGATTTTCTTGATGATCGTTTGCGATCTGCAGGATTTTGCATAGAATAATTTTTCTTGTTAATAATATACAAAAGTTTTGACAGTTTAAATTCCGACGAAAATAAAGTAAACTACTACATACTGGTAGTGTTTGACTTCATAAACACGAAAAAAGATCCACTGTTCCAGGTAATAATGCAATCATTTTTACCTTTTTTTCTTCTACTATATTTCTCAGTTGATTCATCCTCCGATGTATCTTCAGTTTCTTCACTTCCCTCACGTTCTCTACAGTTTCAACAGAAATGTAAAAGAAAGTCAGGTAACAAAAATCCTGGGGTAAAAGGTTTGAACAGAAATGTCCAAGAAAGTTAGGAAAAAGAACTATTGGGGAAAAGAGGTACCTTTTCCTCTTGTCCCTTTCTTTTAACTCCATTTCCTTTTCACGAGAAATCTCTTTTTCCTTCTCTCTTTCCTTCTCCTTTTGCCTCTTATAAGCAAGCTTTTCTGCACATCTTTCATAATGTACAACAATCAATAATCAATTGAATATTTGGTTGAACAAAAATGGCAAGAGAAGACTAGAGAGAGGATGGGCCAGAGCAAAATAGTTGGGATGCAAAATGTATGAATACCAAGATCAGCAAGATAAATACAAGAAAAGAAATAGTGGATCAACTGGGTTACATAATCCCAAAATGAAGTAGTGGATTAACTAACCTCTGGCAAGCTACCAGTTTCACTAGTGCTTGTTTCTGCTCCCCTGCTTCAATATAAGAAAAGTTCACCTGAAAACAAGGGGGAGAGTTATCTATAGCAGAAAAGGAGTTCTTTAATGAACAAAAGGATCTATGCATTGTAGCATCAGTGACAAGATAGAAAGGACCAAGAGCATACCTCATAACTACCAAGTCCATTTTTCTCATCACAAATCCTGTTGCCACAGAGAAACTGCCCTGCAAAAGACAACATGTAATGAATATCACATCTACCAATAAGAAAATTAGTAAAACAGAGCACACATTTGAAAAAAAAAATGTATAGACTACATTTAGCATTTTGCGACAGTTTAGTGCACCTGAAAACACATGGAATTATAAAGGGAAATACCTTTTCCAGATATCACCTCCTTTTCAGTTCTCCATCTCAATCCAATCTGAAATAAATGAGATCCTTAGAATGTGCACTCAACTTCCAAGAATAAAACCGATGGTTTTATCAATTAAAAAAAACCTCTAATATCTATGAGCAGCATATCCTTGTTAGTGCTGTTCTAAATTCTAAAGGATACTTAGATATTATTCAGTAACGAACCAAGTAAATAGGATTTCTTAGCGTCCCCACTATCAAGTGTGTGCCTGTCAGACATTAACATATATAAAAGTATGGTTGTGCTAGTGATTTTGCTGCTCTGTGCAACAATAATTGATACTATAATGCAACTCCATGACCAAAAACAAGAATGATCACTTTGTCGATGCTGCTCACGCAAACTTAATATTACGGATACGAAATCAACAATTCGTATTATTCTTTTCTTTCTTTTAATTGAAATCCTCAATGTTACAGATATAAATCATACTAGGAGCATTTTTCGTCTTTTCTATTGCATTAATAGCAATGAGGAGAAAAAACAGCAAGAATATCATTCAAGAGATCATTGTATCCAGTAAATGACACAAATAAATACTGTAACAACTATTGGCTTATTGCTATAGAATTGTATCACCATACCTTGCCTCTTTTGTACTGGGACATATCAGCAATGCAGTATCTGTATCAAATTAAGGATCCTAGGCACAATAAATTTAAGTTTCAAGAACATTACAAGAACAGTAAAACAGCCAGCAAAACAAGTTCAAGGTGCAAGGACTACATCTCTTGGTTAATATAGATAGATTATAAAGATAGGAGCAGAACTTAAGTGCTTCAAATCAAACATAGCAATCCTGGTTCTCTCTCATCCTTCATGTTCCCATCTTCTAAAATAGGTACTACAGAACTTCAAAACATGCTGTTTCTATAGGAGACTGACTGACAGATAATATTGGCCCAACTATTTAAGGCATAAATACAAGAAACTTTATGCATATCATGTAAATAGTTTCTCTTAGGAAATAACCCGTTAAGCACTATATTTGTTTGGAACGAACTTGCAATATTCTCTCAAAGACATATACTGATGCAGCGGACAACAGTAAATACGAGTTATGCCTATGAGAATAACCATATACATATGCGTTATGTCTACCTCTTTGATGAGAAAATTTCACTCATAGTATCTTACAATTTATACTGCAACTCTTATCTTTTCAGACACGCTAATGAGTTTGTGAGATAATATCTACAGTTCATACCCAATTAGTCTATTATATCAAGCTCTTCAGTCTTCAATACATTTGCAGTATTGCTCAGAATAAAATGGGATGAACTTGCCAAATCACCTCAGCTCCACAAATCAGAACATGTTACAGAAAATTTCTGAAGAAATATACACTGTACCCTTAATGAAAAGAATGTAAGGAACACACCACCAAAAAGGATACTCTTTAAAAAGCTTGTCATAGTAACGTTTGACCAGCCTCTTCTCCCAAGTAGAATCCACATCGTCTTCCTCAGAAAGTATGAACCTTTATATGGATAAATAATTAAAGAAAAGGATTTAGGAGTATTTCATAAAGCATGGACACACATTCCACCATAAATAAATAACAAAGGGTATTGGACTTGTTTCTTACCTATATCCTTCTCGCAGTGTATCTTTATCAGTCTTGATGGGTGCACGATTATCCACATTCTTGTCATGGCCATAAAACTGAACTGTTCACAGCACATTGTTTTTTCAGTGGGAACTTATAATATCAAGAAAAGAGGGAGATACCAATAAAATGCCAGAGCCAATCAATGAAACAATAATTTTGTAAACATGAACATGATCTCCAATCCACAATTATTTATACATCCACGATAAAGGATGCTGTGGTGAGGCTACATTCTGGTTCTTCATTTATCATAGTAGTTTCCACTTACATATCTAAAACAAAAGCTTCCTTGTACTTTACTAACACAAGCAATAGAATCCAAGTCACTTGACTTTTATAATGATTTTAAACTGATCTATAATATTCATAGTATAGTTGGAAGATGAACTGCTAGTCAATGACAGCATTGTTCAACAGATTGGGTCACTGGTATGGCATATCAGACCATCAACTCCCATATGGAAAAGATGCATACCCAGAATAAGTTTCATCCAAAGCTAGGTGGGAAGTTATATATCAATAAGCATAGCCCATGTATGGATGAAGGTAGCCCCCAATTCTTTCTACAGTAGAGGGGACTGTTCGTCATCCAGTTGCTTTTGGAAACTGAGACAGAGCAAATAATTAACTCGTTATATGCCAGCGTCTCAATTTCCTTTACACTGTGAAAGGACAACTTTCTGATCCATCCGTTCCATGCATTGGCATCAGGAATCAAAAATCAAATTGAACTGGGATAACGGGAGTTGTGCCAGAATATCGGAGTGCAAGCTAACCACCATTTGTCTGACTATTGTGAAGAAAGGCAGAAGCAAAACTTTAAAATGTGCCATTTTCCTAAAACAGTGCTATTAACTGTAATATATTATCATGACATTACCATTCCACTATCATTATATTTTGTTCCAATGAAATCTGAACTGAAAGTAGCCCTAGATCTCCCAATAAAATTTTAAAACAATCAAGAAATGCTTAAGAGGTGGAAAAGAAGCCAGCAAAGAATCATACCATAATCCTTCATGAACTTCTTGTGTCGATCATACGCATTAAGCCCCCGAATGTGCGATTGGTATTGCCTGCATCCACAACCAATCCATATCCATCAGATGAAAAATAAAGCGAGCGAACTAACAAAAAGCAGTGCATCTATCTAATATTCCATTGCCCTTGAGTGGCAAATCAGCCTAACTTAACTCCTATCTCGAAGCAAAGATTGCAACCAACAAAGTTAGGGTTCATCGACATCATCACTTCCCCTATTCGCACTGACCCCCAACACATAACGGAGCACAGAAATACCCCTTCAAAATCACACTTTGACAGCATCAGCGTCAAGAAATGTGAAGCTAGAAAAAACAAAGGTTTCTAATCGATTCGTGCCACACACAAATCCGAAAGAAAGGGGGAAACTTTGGTGCAGGAACAGAATGAGATGGGACGGGGATTGGGCAGAAAAGCAAATACATCTTCCTCTCCTCCTTGTCAAAGATGGAGGATTTGAGCCTCCCCAGCGACGACGCCATCGAGCTCTCGCCTCCTCTACCTCTCCTCCCCTCTCTCTCCTCTCCTCTCCTCTCTCTCCCCAGCCGCCGCCACCGTCGTCTCCTCTGGTTCTTGTTGCTTCAGGTGTGGATCGTATAGGCCAAATTGGGCCTTCGTTTGTAGCCCATGGGCAGTTTTGGGCTTGGGCCCATACAGTTGTTGAAGAGAGCAACAGAAGGCCCATAGATGAATGGGTTTTCATGTAATTTTGCAGAATTCATTCATATCGAACCGAATTTCACAGTTTACAATCTGGTTCGAGTAATGAATCTACTGAGATAGTAGGGTTTTTTTTTCGCGAACGCGCAAAAAAATTGCACGTTAATATATTAGAAGAAAAAGAGTTTTAGTTACACCACGCAATCAACCAGACTGGCTTATGCTAGGGGAAGGAAGAAAAAGCAAAATAAGAAAAAAAAACTTAAGCATAGAGAAACTACGGCGGCTAAAAACAGACTCCAAGCAGCGAGAAGGGGCTAAAAACAGAGTTTTTTTTTTCTCCGTCCATACATTCAGAGGTATAAAATCCTTCGAATATTTTTGTTTATCCCATGTTAGTCCCTACATTTCTCTAATATATTATGGACACAAAAGTATAATCATATAAAAGTACTTTTGAAAATTAATCCAATCACATCAATTTTGCTTCACAAAAAATATGTTATAATAGAATAATTGTTGGTCAAAGTTTTGTCGTAATGAAATTTAATGGTGTCCCAATGATTGCATAAAATTTCACAATTGGACATAAGCTAACATATGGCATATGGAATTTCTGAACCGAATATGTTTTACAGACGAATGCTGCCATCTTTCATGCAAGGACTATCAGTCCATGATTTCCTTTTCACGTTAGGTAACACATGAATGCTGACCTATCAAAAACAACATGGATGCTGAAATTTTAGACATTATGTACTTCATTGTAGGAAAAAAAAGAGCAATCACTAATTTCTTTTGAGGCAAAAGGAGTAATCACTAATAAATTTTGGCTGTCATTTGTCAAGCAGACACAAACAAAATGAGAAATCCTACAGATCAGCAAACCTGCAGGTGAACATTATATGATGCAGAAAGCCCCAAAAGCGACAACGCTTTCATTCAGATGGGAGAAAAAGAAGATGACAAAGCTTACTAGAAAGAATTTGTCCTGGTCAGCAGCTCAACATGCTCCGAGATAAGCATATCCAGTTAATATGACACGTGTCCGGACCCTACTGGCTAGCAAATAAATCATTGTCAGTGATGGAACCAGAAAAAAATTACAGAGAAGTCTGAGTAAGTTAAAAAAAACATATAATAGCATGTTCCAAATGATTGATTTCAACAGACTTTAATCATAAATCATGTCCTCTCTCCGTACTCGTAAAGAAAATCGTTTATGACAATGTTTAAGTCAAACCTTGAAAATATAAATCATGAATAACTCTCGAGTTATTGAGTTTGAAAATGTAAAAATTATATGAATAGATTTGTCTTGAAAAATACTTTCATAAAAGTATATATATATCACTTTTCAATAAATATATTTATAGAAACAAGAAGTCAAAATTGTGTTTTGGAGACCGTGTCGCTGTCCAAAACGACTTCATTTATGAGTACAGAGGGAGTATACAATTAGTATGCTACATGGAGCACTCAGCCACTAAATTAATTGGGACATATCCTTCATTCTTTTGCATCATTGGCAGTTTGACATCGTGTGGTTTAGGTAGCTACAATTCGTGTGATGTGTTCATCAGCCTTTTCCCCATGAAAGCGAAAGAACGATTAGAACCAGAAGCTGTATTATGCACATGTCTACAACAACATTGAATCCCATGATTTAATGGTTATCTACCAGACAGCTTTACATTGAATCCATATTATTCTGGATTTTTGGGCATCCTGTCTCTCAAGCAAAGGCTGGTGAGGCTCTTGATTGCTTCCATAAAGAGGCATTTTTTGTAGAGCTTTTTTAGTATAAGCTCATACTATGATTGATGTACCATGGAATGTGTGAATTTTGATCCATATGTTTGGTCATATGTACAGTCATATAGCTGAAGGGCTCAATAAATTAATAATTTTATGATTATTATTCAAGAGTAGAAATAAATGAATTTTAACTATTATAAAGTTGAAAAATGGATTTAAAACATTTTTTAAGAAATTCATATGTAGAAAGTTTTTGCGAAAATTCAAGAGTAGAAATTCATTCTTTTTCATTCATTTAAAAAGTACACGCCCTGAGAAAAATTGCACATTTTAAGAGCAACTGAAATTGGGGAGAAAATCCAAAAGAAGCTGAAGAATGATATGGCAAATGTTGATCAATCCAATGCACCTGGACTAGTTTCTTCGTGACCATCTTTTGGTGAATGATTGCGTACATTGAGATATGATATATTTCTGTATAATTTAAAGGTACTTTTTAGATCAGAGGCCTTCAGGCCTGGCTTTTATAGAAAGCCAAACACATAATTTAAAGGTTGAAAGGTAAAAGGTGAGCTAAGCTAAAGTAAATACGCATTGCTTGTTCTGTTATGAAACACTGTCATATATTTCCCTCTGTTGTTATTGTTCTTCCAATGATTTTCTGCATCCTGCAGAGATTACTTTGTCGAGTCTCGACTATGGAGATGGTGAATTGGTGACAGATGATTCTTGTTAAACTTGCTTCTTACATTAAGGATGTGTTTAGTTCTCGTTAAAATTGGAAGTTTAATTGAAATTGGAACGATGTGATGGAAAAGTTAGAAGTTTATGTGTGTAGAAAAGTTTCGATGTGATGAAAGAGTTGGAAGTTTGAATAAAAAGTTGGGAACTAAACCAGACCTAACTTTGTTGCCCGCATAAGTTCAGCCTTTTCAGAAATATGTTCTTTGTTGTTTGTTCAATTGCAACCTGCACGCAAAAATAATTTGTCCGTCTTTTTTCCGAGGACACTGGGCCTTAATGTGAACTCAGTTAACAAAAATGTGATGAATTGGAGTTAGTGTGACCCAAGAAGCCATTATGAATGATATTACCGCTGTACTTGCAGACTTGCACCTGAATTTTGGATTTGAGATAGGCAGAGCTCCTGCCATTTTCCTTTAAAAAAGATAAAAGGATTTGAGTTGATCGAGCTGTCAGCTTCAGGCATAGTTCAAGGGGAAGTAACTTTTATAAGTTGCTTGTTCAGTTCTCACTAGGATTTATTTTTTTTGTTTTGAAAATAAAAACCGTTCTTACTGGTTTACCGAAAACCAATAAAACTAGTAAAAAAACGACGACTTTCTATCAACACATTATGAAAACCAACTAACGGTTTCCATGAAAACGGATCGGTTTTCTAAAGCCATCTTTTCAGATAATGGGAATAGTTTTCGATCCCTATTTAATAGCAGTAGTTTCTTTTGCCTTATGACCAAGGTTTACTGATACCTAGTTAATAGTTAATTGACCGTACTAACCTTTTATCCGTCTGTGATTCCCTTCGCTATAAATCAGGGCAGTAAGATATTTTGGCCTTTTTTTTCAACTGTCATTTTCTTCAGACCAGTAATCAGGATCAAATGATCATTGTTTACTAGAAACAGTCCAGCATGTCACACACATGGTTGCCTGGATTTCTTGCAAGATCTTTCCATGAAAAAAAATGTTGATATTGCAAGGCTAATATAGAAAAAGGCACATAGTAGAATAGGCTTTCAGCGTCAGTGCATCTCCATGTGGGACCCTTTCTCTGCCGACATCTTGCTTTTGGCAAAATGGATAGATAGGAGGCTCATGGTTGTCATCAAACCTGAAGCTGTACCTTGAAATCAAGAATTTGGATTACTTACGCCGTGTTTAGTTCCAAAATAATTTTTTAAACTTTTATCTTTTCCATCACATCAAAACTTTCGTATACACACAAACTTCTAACTTTTTTATCACATCGTTCCAATTTTAGTTTGAACTAAACATAGCCTTACATGAATACAAGTTTTTTTTTTTACTGAATTCTTACTAACTCTGACGAGGCATGTGTGAGTTCATCTAGATTTGGTATAACTTCCATCTAAATAAATCAAACGACTGATATCGTTGTTTGTAGAAATTTTGTAAAGAAAATTTACATGTAGCTTAAAAAAACCCATGTGTATTTGAAGTATTCCCTTCTCTGCAGTCACTATCAAGTGCAATCTGTCATGTAGGATTATTTATTCACAAATAAAATGGGTTGTGCTATAATTTTTCTAGGTTAGTTTGTTTTTGCTTGGGTCAGGATGACAGTGACTGCAGATACAGACAATGGGAGCATGAAGATTAAGAGTTTAAAACCACATGTGAGACTCATCATCCAATCATGCATATAGCTGTCAATACTGAGAAAAATACTGTAGAAAAATACATAAAAATTCGCATACGTCAACACCTCTCAATTTGTTTCTCAAAAAAGGAGTACAAATTGCAGCCGCCTTTGGAGAAAAATTCTAACAAACAAAACACTTTAAAAAGAAAACTCTGCAATAAGGTCTAGTTTGATTTTCTAATTTTCTGATGACATCTGAGGGCTACAAAACGATGAATGAACTACTTCAAACTTAAAAAGCTGTTTTAAAAATACTCTAATCACTTTTAAATCTTTTTCATAAAAAAAACATCCCGTTTACAAGTTTCGAAAGCGTGCCCACAATAATTTATAATCTATAAGAGGAAAATATTTGGCCCTAAATCTGCCCAAATTATTTAACCACCTGTAACAACTTCACATACACACTAGCTCACACTAATGCTAATTTGTTAATCATTACCAGCCAAAGTTTTTAAAACGTTAATTATTCCTTGTAAAGAGATACTCCCTCCGTTTCAGGTTATACGACGTTCTGACTTTGGTCAAATTCAAACTACTCTAAGTTTGATTAATTTTGTAGAAAAAAATAGTAATATTTACAACACTAGCAGAGTTTCATTAAATATATAATTGAATAAATTTTTATAATATATTTATCTTAGGTTAAAAATACTATTACATTTAGAGTAATTTGATTTTGTCCAAAGTCAAAACGTCGTAAACCGTAAAATGGAGGGAGTACAAAATAATGAAATATTTACTCCACGTGGCGTTATCCCATTGGCTTAGGGCTTCCAACCCAAGCCAATTTCTTTCTCAATCTCTCCCTCTATAAAAATACCAACCAAAGAGGAAAAAATCGCTCGAAAAATACAAAAAAAAAAGAGGAGAAATAAATCAAACACCTCTCGCCCACCCTCCCCCACCAGATGCCGGCCACGGCGAGCGGCGGTGCGCGGCCGGAGGAGGCGGCGGCCTCGGCCTCGCCGCCGTCGCCGACCGCGTCCTACTGCATGGGCACGAGGCCGGAGGAGCTGACGGCGAGGCTGGCCGCCGCCGCCGGGGGGCGACCCGTCGGTGGCGGCGGCGGCGGCCGCGGCGGAGGCGGCGGAGGAGGGGAGGAGGAGGGGGAGCACGAGCGGGTGCGCACGCTGCGGGAGATCAAGAACCAGATCATCGGGAACCGGACCAAGAAGCTCCAGTACCTCCGCCTCGGCGCCGTGCCCGCCGTCGTGGCGGCGCTCGCGGGGCCCGGGGCCTCCCCCGCCGCGCTCGTGCAGGCCGCCGCCGCCGTTGGGAGCTTCGCGTGCGGCGTCGACGACGGCGTGCGGGCCGTGCTCGCCGCCGGGGCCGTGGCCCACCTGACGCGGCTCCTCGCCCACCCCGACGAGAAGGTAGCCGGTCTCTTGCTTCGCTTGCTTGCTCACTTCTATGGATTTCCGATTTGTATCGGGCGTGAAATCTTTTGTTCTCGCCTAGCAGAAATTTGTTTTCCTTTTTTGTGGATTAATTATTCGTCTGGGAGAAGATCTGTTGCGTAGAGGAGACTTGCTCGGAACTAAGCAGACAGCAAGCAACTGGTTCTTGCTTGATTTCTTGGGAATCATATGGTGTAGAATTTGGGTTATGTTTGCAATTTGGGAACAGGAAAAGTTGGATGGCAACTGAATTGATACTATGAAGAATTAGTGATTAGATTGGTTAACGATTTTTCTTTACTGCTGATATTGTAATTTAGGGTGAGAAAAATTTACTGGTGCGATGTGAAGAGTATTTGCTTACTAGTCCAATTTGCCATGAATGCATTTTTTTTTACTGTGTCATCAATGTGTTTGGTAAATAAGGTTTAGAGGTGAGTAAGAATATGAAAATAAATGTGGTAATTCGATAGTTGCTTTGTGAATTGGTTGGAAAGAAATTTGTACTAGGGGGATCATGATTGGTGGTTTGGGTTTTGCTTGGAATGAGGGGAATTATTTGATCTGAACTATAGGCTAATCTGTCGGTTTAGCTAAGATGAGAGGTACTGGTGGTTGTCATTTCTTTTTCCTTTTCTTTTTTAATGTCCTTTTCTCTCTATTTTATTTTAATTTTTTTGATTAAAGTACTGAAGGTATTGTTCAATTTATGCTTGAAATGTGCAGAGTTTGGTAGTGGGTCAATGGTTAGGTGTAGTGGTGGGGATGAATGTGCTGGAAAGTTGTCTGTTTCGTGTTAGTTTCATGATGAATTTGTCTGAACTGATAACTGAATTGGCTTTACAGATGTAAGCATGAAATAAGATGTTTAAATAGCTTCCTCTGGGTCATGGTAAAACTGTAGCTCATACTATATGCTTGAACTAAGAGTTTGGCAGTAGTGTGATGTTTTGTGCAATGGTTTCTTGGTAGGGAAATTTTGTGCTGAAATCCTTATTGGTTTGCTGTGTAACTGGAAGTTCTTGATTGCCAGGTAGGATGTGGGTGCCCTTTTTATTTGAGATTTGAAATTGACAGTTGAAGGAAACTTTAAGGAAGAAATCTTAACACTAAACAAAGTCATGAGGCAATTCAAACTTGTGATTCTTCCATAACACCGAATATCCTGAATCACTAAAGCCTTCTTTGTATGAGCTAGAAAAGATAGTTGTATCATCCTAACACAATCCACATGGACTTAACTCGTAACTTGCATAGGTTGTAGCTCAAAATTTGGTTACCCAGGTATATCTCCTAGCAACTTTACTGGTATAGAAGTACATGGTATAGAAGTACATATTGCATAAGGATATGGTGACAAGTCAATGTACAACTTCGGGGAGGTATACTTACATTGTTGTCAGCTACTCCCAGATCAGCTCCAGTATTTTGAAGATACAGCCATGCATACCTCAAACCATATGCTCATTGTGCCTTTATGCCCCAATTACTAGTTATAGCTCTACCTCTTCCATCCCTCCCTATTCAATTCTTACTGACCAAACAAGGTAGCCACTATTACCACCACATCCCACATCCCACTGCCTCCTTCCCCATGTTGCTTGTCGCCTCCCTTCAGTCTCTCCCTTTGTTGCATCTTCAAGGTGGAGGAAGTGATGATGAGGCATAGGGCAGCTGTTTGTGTTACAGAAGTGACAATTAGAAAGGGGGCAAAACATGGTAGATGGGTTGAAACAAGAAAAAGAGATGAAACAAGTCAAGCTACTTTGGTAGCTCTCTATTGTCCCATCTCTAACATCCTTCCCTAACCACTCTTGTCGAGTTGTCAGGCATTAATTCTTTCAAGATTTGCTATAGCACTGTTCTAAAAGGCGTTAGGCATATACATGCAGCAGGGTGGTGTCTAGTTCCTACACTGACTAGTCAGGCTAAACAAATATTAGGTGCTAACCAGTATGGTGATGCCTGGGGCCTTTTAGAACAGTGATAGTGGGATGCCAATTTATCTGAAAAAATGATTTGCCAGTTGTTATTTTGCTCCTTATCTTGTCTAGTATTGATATTTGAAAAAAGATTGCACATTCATATTAAGGACATAAATAACCAGGAAAGGCCACAATATACAGTTATTCAAAGCAGGGATACTCGCTGCTTTGGATTAACCAGCTAGCTTCTGGGCTTCGCTTTAACATTCTGTTTTGGAAACATTTATAATAACTAAATGCTATCTTAAGCATCTAGTTTGTACAGTTGAACTTGTAACAATACATGAATGCATAAGAGTTCATATCCAAGCACCCTCTTCATTGAAACATGGTGTTTTGGTGCTATCTGATATTCTGATTATTTTCATGTTATATTGAATTGTTTATAACCATTAATGCATACTATGAATAATAATAATAATAATATGATCTGACCCGAGGTTATATTCTGATTACAGGTTGTTGATGCTAGTGCACGTGCTCTGAGAATGATTTATCAATCGAAACTAGCTCCAAAGTTTGATGTCAACAATAATGAGAAAAACATGGAATTTCTTCTTACCCTTTTGAACAGCGAGAATGAAAATGTCACAGAGCTTGCTGCCAATATTATATCTCACTCTTGTGATAGCACTACAGAACAATTAGCACTATGTGCTGCTGGAGTTCCGCAGAGACTTGTTAACCATTTTGGAGGCTCCATGAATCTACGGGATGCTTGCTTAGATTCTTTGACTGCAATCATAAGAAATAACTGGGAAGTTGCTTCAAGATTTGCACTGCTGGACCATGGAAAAGCTTTGCGCTCAATAGTTGCATTAATACATGATCGGAGCCCACGCACAAGACTACTTGCTTGTTTGTGCTTGATTGCGCTTAGCCATGCTTCTCCCTGTCACTTTCAAGACAGACAAATTAAAACCAAGTTGATCCTGGTCTTACTTGAGCTCATCGAGGAACCTGGTCATGTAGGAGATGATGCTCCATTGGCATTGACAACCTTGATCAAAGACAGTGTGGAACTGCAGAAGCAAGCACTCTCAACAAACGCAGTTCAGAAGTTAAGCAACCATCTTATAGCAAATTCGTTGGAGTCAAGGCGTGCAGTGACCATATTGCTTGCTTTAGCTGAACTTTGCTCAAAATTGGAAGAATCAAGATCTCAACTTATGTCAGTTCAGGTACGTGCAGGACTTTGAATGGTATATTGATCATTGCTGCTCTTTGCCCTTTGAGTAAAATTTTGTAGAGTTCATCTACTGTTATTGTTAAGCAACTTGTGACAAGAAAATATACTGACTCCATGGGCTCCTGGCGTGTAGTAGCATGAAAAAGGTGGATTTTATGATTGTCAGTTGATCAAACATTTGTGACTAACAAATTAATTATGTAACAGGCATCTACCTTAATCCTTGATGCACTGAAGCATGCTTCTGTTGATATCCGTGTTGCAGCATGTTCATGTCTTAAGAATATCTCTAGGTCATCCAAGGTAAGACACATACTCCTTATGTATATTCAGCGTTATGTGTTCATCTTACATGATTTGAGTTGATATGTTTAATTTCAGGTACTTAGTGCTGGGAAATTATCCTGTGATACATTTATTGCCCCACTAGTCCAGCTTTTGTATGACTCGTCTATGTCAGTTCAGGTAATGTAAAATTGTGAAGCAACCTTCAGTATCATTTTTAAGGGGCAATGAATCTGTAATTGAAAGCATGGTTTCAGAAACCACAAGGAACTGGCCAGCTCCTGCTGGACAGCGCATGATTCTAATAGATTAGGGCTTCTTTTTTTACATGATCTGGCAAGTACTTGGTGGTATATGTTGTTTGGAATAAAAAGGTCTTGAGCAATTCAATCAAGTCGAGTTATAGTTCTAACTTGGTCAGATTTGACCAGTAAGCGACTATCTGTCCATGTCCAAGAAATTTTCAAAAAACAAATTTTGAAACACTGCTTGGAATTGCCTTCCTTCTTTGTAGAGGGTTGGTCAATGGGTTTTTGAAAGGAAAATCTTGGAAGCATGGCAGCTTCCTCCTTTCCTGATTTCTCTGCAATTTTACCTTCTTTCTGCCCATCATGGGCTCTACTGTAATTCTTCTAAAGCATCATGTTGTACTAACTGTTTTCGTGTTAGATTGTAAACCTACATATCACTAAGTAATCAACTGTATTAGTGACTTAAAAAGTAAGATGTTAACTTAGGAGAAACTCTTTTGGTCGTTCATACCTACCATGGACTCATTTTATTTGAGCAACCTTTCCACTTAAGGGACACTACATTAGCTATATTATGATTGTGAAACGTCATTATTTTAGGTCTTTAATCCCTTGGGACTTTGTAGAATATCTACTAAATGTCTGTGTTCACAAAATGGTATTACAGGTTGCTGCCCTTGGTGCTATTTGCAATATTGCTGTGAATTTAACACCCAGGAAATCGATTCTTCTTCAATCTGGGGCTGTCTCCCAGCTTGTTCATTTGTCCAAGTCTATGGATCCAACATTGAGATTAAAAGCTGTGTGGGCTCTTAGGAATATTATGTTCCTTTTGAATCCAAAGGATAAAGACTTTATTCTCAAGGAACTAACTTTATCTACTCTTTCAAGCCTCATATGTGGTAAGTCTAAATGTGCAGCTATGATATTAGGTCATTGCTGAATCAGCCACACTGCTAATGCAACATTTCTTGCAGATTCTGAACATTTTGTCCAGGAACAAACTTTGGCACTGGTGCACAATCTTGTTGATGGATATGTGAACTCTTTTAATTATGTCATTGGTGAAGATGGCATGATTTTAAATGCTATTTCAAGACAACTGAATAATGCACCTGCCCCAGGAGTATGCATACAGGTCAGTATTTCCTAAACTACATTATACTGAGTTACCTTATTTAAAATTGGGCAAAAGGAACATCTTGTCTGACAAAACCGTGTAATTTTAGTTTCACATTCTTTATCGGGATACTATTTATTATCATAGTTAATCATTGGCATTTCTGTTACCTCTCTTCAGGGTATGTTTGTGCTTGCAAATGTTGCAGCTGGGGGCGAATTAAACAAGGAGGCTGTGATGAATATTCTTGTACCTCGTCGAGCAGATCGTGTCAAACAATCTTTTATAGTTAACTTTCTGCTGAGCAAGGACAAACAATTGAGAGTTGCAACCTTGTGGTGTGTTCTGAACTTGATTTATCCAAAATGTGAGGCCTCTTCTGTTCGAGTTGTCAGACTCCAAAATGCTGGGGTAATTTCACAAGTAAAAGGCATGATAAATGATCCCTGCTTGGATTGCAAGGTACCTCTTTGTTCTTTTATTTATTGAGCTTGAAAAAACACACGATTGTCAATCAGCGTCATGATTACTTCATTGCTGCTGTTAGATATTTATGGTCCACCCATCCTTGCTGCTCCTGTCACATTAGCATGCATGAGTACTTTTGTTGCTCGGTTCGTAGCTTTATCTAGCCTAGCCTGATGTTGCCCACTAAATTGTATATTCTTGATTGGGCAAAGAAAATGTCATTTTACCTTTGCTATGAACAAGCATTTGACATTAGCAAATTTACACATATTGAAATACTCTATAGGAAAACAAATAGTTAAAATCTACTCCTGCAAAATTCTAAGCACACAAGCACTCGATGGCCTCAAATGGGTTTATATATAAGGATGTTGATTAAAACCAATAAAACAAAAATAATGCAAGATGACAAACATGTCTGGTAGTTGGTTAGCATTTGTCGGCATATGTTCTTGAACCTTACAAACCTTGGTTTGTGCTTAAACTAACATCCCAAGGTGTCCCTTGTGCAGCTTAGAGTACGCATGGTGCTTGAACACTGCTTGGACAATGCCGACGATGGTTTCATGTGAGCAGCCGCCATTGCACCTCGGGCCATTGAAGCTTGCAGAATCAAACACTGCTTGAGCAAAGAGAAGATGGAAGATTGATCTCTTCGCATCAGCAATCCGCGCCATGAACTGTGAACAATGATCATCCAGTAAAAAAAAGCCTTCACCGACATCTTCTCGTCGCCTCCAAGCCTGTCATTGTAAATTTGGTGAACTCCATGAGGACCATGACTGGTTTCTCTTGCAGAAACAAGCAAGAAACCTTGTTGTAACCATGCCACGTCAGAAAACCTGAGCTGATTTCCTCCGAAACGGAAAAAGGTTTTAGGTGCTAGCTCTGGAGAAATTTCATTCCTTAGCATGACCAAAAACCTAGTGCTTGTGCTGTGACGATGAGTGGTGAGTGTATAATTGAGGGAGATATGCTACTGCTGCTGTAAATTGTACTACTCTCTTGGGCTATGTTTTTCACGTTCGGCCATGGGACGGTGCCCAGCAAGCAGTGTGTAATGGTTTTGCCGCTTGCTTTTGCTTCTCAATAAAGATACTACTCTTGACATGCTTCTGGGTATTCCTGATCACAATCTTGCTCTCGTCGTGTGGCCTTATAAGTAACCAAAATTTAGTTTCTGAAAGTTGATAGTAGTACCTATATTTTTCAGCCTTAGCCTAATTATACATACTCCTATTTTACTCCCTCCATCCACAAAAGTTTCACCTATTTCACATTTGAGTTTTTCCAAATAAGTTGTTCCTATTTATAGTTTTTATGCATTTAAGACTTAAATGAAGAGATAAATTAAATGTTTTATTAGAACTCAAGAAGTCATCTAAATACTCATTGGTTGCATGCTTTTATTTACTTCTTGATTTTGTAGCATCCAAGGTAATTTAATTTCTCCTTGGTCTTGGTGTCAAAAGTAATATGTGTAATTTTTGTGGATGAAGGGAGTATGTTATAAGTCGCTTTGACTTTTTCTGATTAACAAAGAGATTAAACTTTGTTAAGTTTGACTAAGTTTAATGAAAAATAAGTAACATTTTAAGAATATATTTTATTATTCTAGCAATCAGCATTGAATATATTTCGATGATATGTTTGTTTTGTGTTAAAAATACTACTATATTTTTTATAAACTTAGTTAAATGTAAAGAAGTTTGATTAGGAAAATAATTAAAAAGACTTATAATATAACACGAAGAAGTATGTATGTGTATATATATATATATACATATATATATATATATATATGTATGTATATATATATGTATGTATATATATATGTATGTATATATATATGTATATATATATATATATATATATATATATATATATATATATATATATATATATATATATATATGTATATATATATATGTATGTATATATATATATATATATGTATGTATGTATGTATGTATGCGTATGCGCGCGCGCTTTTTTGGTAAATTATTTTATGCACGTCGACGAAAAAAAATCTTATTGCTCACGACATGCATGCTTGACCCAAAGATTCTAAAGCCACAACGTGCCATGTCAAGCCAAATTTTGTCAAGTCAAATTTGGTCAGAGATCTAGTGGCATTACCCAAAGATTTAATTTATGGCATTGTCAAAATTTAATTTTCTTACACAAAAAATAATTTAGTAAATACCAGGGGTTTCTTTTTTTTTTTTGCGTATGCTAGTTATATGATCCTGTACGTTCCGATTGCCATTGGTTAGAGCAAGTTTAATAGTATAGCCAACTGCGGGCTCCAAATCATCTATAGTCAACTTAATAGCCAACTCATATAACAGTTACCTATAAACATATAGTTCCTCCGTTTCATATTATAAGACTTTCTAGCATTGCACACATTCATATATATGTTAATGAATCTAGACATATATATGAATGTGTGTCTAGATTCATTAACATATATATGAATGTGGGCAATGCTAGAAAGTCTTATAACCTGAAACGGAGGCAGTACTTCATAATTAATATCTGGTCTCACCTGTCATACACACATGCACCTTGGAGTCCGTGCTGCAGCTAGCTATAAGACTATAAATCTGTAGCCTGCTGGCTTTCTCCCTCCTCTTTTATCTCCTCGAAATGTGTTTATAGCTGGCTTATAGCCTACTATTGTACCTACTATTATTGAGTCCAACAGGTAAAAGTAAAACTCCCGACAAAGCTATACATGTGGCCACCTGTCAGAGTACAGGATTCCAGTGACATGATGACGCAGGTGAACAAAGGAATAGTGTCATCGCCGAAGAAGACGAGGAGGGACAATCCCTTCTCCTTGACCCCGATGATGTTGGCCGCCTTAACCATGTGCACAACGACGACAGAGAAGAGGTTGAGGTATATGATGACGACGAAGACGATGGGGAGGTGGTCGACATCGACGACAAAAACGAGTGCAGAGAGGAAGAGGAGGACGACGAGGTGGTGCATGTCGATGATGGTGGCGGCGGCGAGGACGACGATGTCGTGGACGATGGCTTTGGGGTGTTGGTTGTGGTGCGGGTAGGGTATTGCAACCTATAATACTTACGATATAAACACACTTCTCTAATGCTGCGCTTTTAGTTGATTATAAAATATTTTATAAAGAAGATGAGTGGTCAAATTTCATAAATAGGCAGTACTTGTGCAAATATTGTAAAGGGAGGTACTCCTTCTGTTCAAAGATATAGGGCATATTTTGACTTTTAGAAAACAAAGCTTATCATTAATATAGTTTGTATTCTGATGTAAAAAGATTTGACCGTAAAAAAGCTTTGATGTATTTTAATTTTGCCTACATTTACAAAATCAGTCACAAGAACGTAATTTCTAACATGAATCCAATAATAATGATAAAACCTAAATACTCCCTCCGTTTTTTATTTTAATAATTAACGCTGTTGACTTTTAAATACACGTTTGCCTATTCATTTTATTCAATTATTTTTTAAATATATGAAATATAAATCATGCTTAAACTATTTTTATGATTAAACAACTACCAATAAAATATATTTTAATTACATAAATTTTTTAAATAAAACGAACGATCCTAACATTATTTTAAATTTCGATAGCGTTAACTAAGAGAATCATCTATAGCTAATTTAATAGCGCATTCATACAATAGTTGCATATAAATATATACTATATTATTAATATATGGTCTCACCTCTTATACACACAACATTTTGAAATTGTAGCTGGATAGAAATCTGCAGCCCACTTTCTTTTTTATTCTTTTCTTATCTCATCTATGTGTGCTTATAGTTAATTTATACTAGTATGCCATTATACTTGCGGTTAATTATTAGTCAAAGCTTAAATTGGAAAGTCAAAATATACCAAATTTTTTTTTATGGATGGACCATAGTAGTACTCACAAGTCACAACCGAAATCCGTTGACTCGTTGACCAATGGAGCAGAGCTGTCATTATCTCGTCGGCTCGCCGGAGAAGGTCGGAAAAAACGGCGGCGTAGATGATAGATCCAATAGGCGCGCCCGGCCATCGTCCTCACTCACCGCCTGCCCGACGCCGCACCTCCGCGCGCCGGCATCGGAGGACGCATCTCCGGCCGCCGGCGAACCCTCCTTCGCTCTCCCACGACCGAGAATTTTCAGAATATAACACCCAATACACACTGCTTCCAGGATTTGTCACCCAATTCACACTACTTTCAGAATACACCACTAGAGTGCGAATTTTCTTCGTTCCGTGACACTCCGTCCCCTAGCGTCAGTCCTCCGTCCTCCCGGCGCCACCGTTGTCAGTCCACCGCCGCTCGTGCCCGTGTCAGCTCCGGCGTCGCCGGTCCGTCGCTGCCCGCGTCAGCCCCGCCGTTGCTCGTCCGTCGTCACCCGCGTCGGCCCCGCCGTCGCTCGTCCGTCGCCGCCATCGGCGCACGCGGTGGAGGGCCGGAGGAGAGGGGAGCAGCGGTGGAGGGCAGAGGGCTTCGAGCTCCGGCGGCGGAGGTTGGACCGGCGCCGGCTCGGGGCGCGGTGGCGGCAGCCCGGTGCGGCGGCGGCTGAGCTCGGGGACGACACGAGCTAGCTCGCCAGATGCGTGCGGGAGGAGGAGCTCGCTAGTGTGGGGAGGACGAGCTCGCCGGCGTGGGGGAGGACGAGCTCGCCGGCGGCCAGATTCGTGCGGGCAAACGGCGAGAGATGGATGAACTGACGACGGGCGTCTTTGGATGGACGGAGTGTTACGGAACGAAGAAAATTCGTACTCTAGTGGTGTATTCTGAAAGTAGTATGAATTAGGTGACAAATCCTATAAGCAGTGCGTATTGGGTGTTATATTCTGAAAATTCTCCCCACGACCGCCCAAGGTAATCGATTATCCCTTTGCGGCCCTGACTTGGTTCGTGGATGGATGGTATAATGGATAGATGGGAGAAGGATTGGTTGCATTTGTTGCTGTAGTCTTGTAGACGAATCGATGGTTGGTAAAAAAAAAAAAAGGGTGTCTGTGACTGTGAACCTTGTGTTAAATGGATGATTTCTTATTTAACATGTTTCTAATATGTTCATTGACTGGAATGTGAAGCTTGTGTCACTGTCAAATGGATGGATAATAAGTCATAAGATCACCAACCTCGGTGCATAATTTCGTTTCTGATATGACCGCAATTTGCTTGTGTCACTGTCAAATGGATGGATAATTAATCATAAGCTCAACAACTGTGGGAAGGGGTGGTACAATCCGATATTCATACTACCAACCAAACAAAAAAGACTAGATCATCCCATCGGTATTCATTCTACCAACGAAACAAAGCTCGATAGCCCGATTCATCTGACCAAAGAAGTAAGTTGATGGCCTCTCTTATATGATTCTTGTGTTTTTCATGTGCTCTATTCAAACAGCTATTTGTTGTGCAGTTCTTCTATGTTTTCAACGCTCCGTAGGAGTTGGAGCACTCTAATCCTTTTCTATTCATATGCCTTGAGAATCATGGGTTCCAGCGAGGTCTTAAATATCTGTAGATTGATGATTCAATTAACATCACAGTCTATGGGATCTTAATGCTTATGGCTACCCATGGCAACTTCAAAACATGTACTGGAGGTCTGTTTTTTTTTTCCTGGAGTTTTGAACCTAGCATATGCCGCAGGACCGCGGGAGATGTCAGGACCAAGTTTCCTGGAATCTATGCAACTATTTTCTTTGTTGTTTGGTGAGAAAAAAACTTGTGGGCCCATGTGTAAGTGGAGCAATGGAGGTTAGGGAGAATTAGATGGGAAAATAATGAGATTATACGAGTTCAGTTCTAGGTCCTCTTTTAGAGGGGTTGTGATGTGATGTTAACCATATATTATTGTAGATGAAAAGGAAAATGAGGCATCGTTATAAAGTGATACAGCGTTAGTGATTTGACTCTTATACTCCACTTTCTTTTTGGGGAAAAAAAGGAGAATAGTTTACTTTTATCCTTTACTTGCTGCTGGGCAGGTATCAGATGAATGACATCTTTTCTTGATTCCTTAACCCTCTGGGAGGCATTGCATCAGATTTTGCATGCATGTTGATATATTTGTGTGTGGCACTTAACTATGCATGAATTGCATTCATCCCCTCAAACATATCAAACTGGCTAATCCCTGACCATATATAACTTGTCTGTCAAACTGAAGATTATCATCGATCACTTCTCCACCCATTCAGTTATCGTGTGTAAGTTTCTCTATTCACATAGCTAGCTTCTGTGTAATATGTGTTTACTGCAGGAGGTATTTCATCCAAATTACCCTTGTTAGAAAAATGCATGTCCGATAAATTTTAATTGTGGTGCATAGATAATAATCATGCTGTTAAAAGACGGAGATTTCCGCATGCGCTTCCCAACTAGATCAACATACAACTTCACATAAGTACATGCAACACAAGATTCATTTATCACATCAGTAGCCAAAAAAACTGGGAGATTTTTGTAGCTCTCACTTAATACGACTTCATTGCTATCAAGTTTTTCTGCTTGGCCACATTGTTTAAGGCTGTTCCTGAATTTGTGGCACCTGATGCATTGCTAATTCTTTTGTAAATCAGATTGACATTGCCTTGGCTCTAATATCACTTATTATGTTTATATATCCTGAATACAGTATGTATTTGGCTTGCCATATATGCCATGAGCCAGCTCAGGGCCTCAGGTGATGGTAAGAATGAAGCAAATGAAAACTGAAATAATAGCAATGAAACAACTGACGTATAAGAGAAAAGTGTTTGGGAAGTCAATCACAAATTCTTTAAGCACACAACCCCTAAAGAGTCTGATGCATTCTCAGTGGCTTCTTTGGATGTACACAATAGCCTTAATTACAATGATTCTAATAGAAGTTCTCATGGCAATGTGAATGCTTAGGCTGAAATAGGGTATGAGTCTGCTTTTACAACAATTATAATGATAGTAGTTTTTTTTTTTTGTGGAAAAGGGAGCTTTATTACTCTCATTATTACAGCTAGCTAATACAAGTACAACCACACAAAAGTTTACTCACAACCTCTCTGCATAATAAAGATGTACACAACCACAATTAAAGAAACAACAACCCGGAACATGTGATACGGAACAAGGGAAAGTCCAACAGAATGGAAGCACACCCCCTCAGCTGTCATTATTCTGCTTGGGCTTGGATGCTGAGTTTAGAACTTGAGATTGCCATCAGAATTAGGTTTGATAGTGTTGATAAACTAAAAAGAAATATTATGTAGTTTTGACTTATGTCAATCGATTGGTGTATACATTTCAGATGTTAAGGTGGAGAAATCGATGGCAGGAGCAGAGGCTGTGAGCGCTGCATGGAAAGAATGGGCTCTCCAAGCACTGGTGCTTCTCAGCCTCATGGTCCAAGTCACACTCCTCATCTTGGCAGAATTCCGCCGGTACATTGACTCTGGCGTGCTAAGGGCCTTTATATGGTCCGCATACATGCTGGCCGACGGGACAGCGATCTACGTGCTTGGCCACCTCTCTGTTACCAGCAGGTCACCAGAGCATGAGCTGTTGGCACTCTGGGCACCGTTCCTGCTGCTGCACCTTGGTGGGCAGGACAAAATCACTGCCTACGCCATCGAGGACAACCGGCTGTGGCTGCGCCACCTGCAGACGCTTGTTGTGCAGGTGGCCGCAGCTGCCTATGTCATCTATGGGTCCTCCATAGTCATTGTTGGCGACAGCCGGACCTTGCTTCTCCTGTCAGCCACCATCCTCATGTTAATGGTAGGTGTTGCCAAGTATGGGGAGCGTGTCTGGGCGCTCAGATGTGCCGGTAGTAGCCCAACTGGAAAGTACGAGAGTGATATAGCGAGAAGAAGATTTTCTCAAATGGTGCCTGAGTCATTCATACGTCGCTTGGATCCAGCAGAAACCTTGCTATTAAATGCTCACCTATTGTTGGATTTTGCCAAGGATAGGTTTAAGGGGCCATTACCTCGTCTGTTTTTGTGTGGCCCCATGAATGAAGGATCACGATTGCAAGGGGAGGACGAGTTGTACAAGGTGGCTGAGATGCAACTCTCCCTCCTCCACGACGTCTTCTACACCAAGTCTGAGATTACACACACTTGGTATGGCCTTTGCATCCGAGTGCTTTCGTCTCTGGCCACCACCGTTGCATTCTTTCTGTTTAATATACTACTAGTCTGGGGAAATCATCATCAGCATAAGCTGAATGGTTACAGCAGAGCAGATGTCATTGTTACATATGTCCTCTTTGTTGGAGCCGTCATCCTGGAGACTATGTCACTTTTGAGGGCCATGTTCTCGAGCTGGACATGTGCACTCCTGGTAAAGAAGGGATCGGAAGGAAGTAATGTGTGTAATTTTCTTGCTCACATACCCGCCTGTCTCCGCCGGCTGGTCCGTGCGGCATATTGGAGGAGGAGGCGCAGCTGGTCACGCTCCATGGGGCAGCTCAACCTGATTCAGTTGTGCGTGCACAGCAGGGCCAGCCGATGCAGCAAGATTGCGAGGTGGATGGGAGTCGAGGACTGGTGGAACAGGTTGGCTTACTCGGGCCTGCCCATCCCCATCTCGGCGTGTACCAAGCAGCTGCTGCTGGAGACCATGAAGGCGAAGCAATGGGGTCAGGAGGAATTTGAAAGCAGAGGATTGTACAGGGACCCAGCCTGGGTTGCTGAGTCCAAGATGGAGCAGAGGATCCTCATCTGGCACATCGCCACTGAGATCTACCTGTGCTGGTACAAGGATCAGGAGAAGAAGCAAGCAGAGGCCACCAGTGGTTCAGGTTCAGCTGCTGAAGAGGAGCAAGCAGCGGCCACCGGTGGTTCAGGTTCAGCTGCTGAAGAAGGGCAAGCAGAGGCTGCCAGTGGTTCAAGTTCAACTGCTGAAGAGGATCAAGCAAAGGCCGTCGGTGGTTCAGTTTCAGCTGCTGAAGGGGAGCAAGGAGAGGTTGCCAATGGCTCAAGTTCAGCTGCTGGAGAGGAGCAACCAGAGGTAGTCGATGGTTCAGGTTCAGCTGCTGACCTTATGGAAACGGCTCAGGCGCTGTCCAATCACATGCTTTTCCTGCTTGCATCACGTCCCCACATGCTGCCTCCCGATGCCAGCCGCAATGATTATCTTGTGCTGTGCTATGCTATCACTCGTCACCTGAGGTACAGCACAGCTGAGGATGTGCTCCACTTGCTACAACTTAACGCAGATGCATTGAGGACGAATAGCTCTAAACCGAAGTTTAAATTAACTTGTACAAATACTAATAGACTTGGGGACAAGATGTTGAGGGGAGGATGCTCGCTTGGTGCATTCCTCATCGACCGGCAAGACTCGCCTGCTGATGGCACTGGCACGCTAGAGATGATCTGCCAGGTGTGGGCACAGATGCTGTGCTGCTGTGGGGAACAATGCAGCACAGATTCTCATGTCAAGCAGCTCAGCAGTGGCGGTGAGCTTGTTACCGTCACTGCCCTTGTCGCAAAATACATGAGGTCAAGGATGTTGTCTTGGCACTTTCAGATAGATTCACATGAGCGTTTGAGCGAATGGTGAAATAGTAGGGTGAAGAGGTGCAGCAGCAGCAGCAAAATTTTGTTGAAGGATATGTGGACACCATTAATTATGTTATTGGTGAAGATGGCATGATTTTAAATGCTATTTCAAGACAGCTGAGTAATGCACATATGCCTTAGGAGTGTGCATACAGGTCAGTATTCCTTAAACTACAGTATACTGACTTACCTTATCTATACTTTTTTTTTTCATATGTGTTTTTAAACTATGGAGGGCAAAAAGGGAAATATTTCCAATAAAACAGTGTATTTTTTTTTTTGTTTTCATACGGATGCATGCTTCTTAACTGTGATACTATTTATTATCTGAAAAAAAGAATGCAAAAATCATAGTTAGTCATTGGCCTTTCTGTTTCCTCTCTTCAGGGTATGTTTGTGCTTACAAATGTTGCAGTTGGTGGTGAATTAAACAAGAAGGCTGTGATGAATGTTCTTGTACCTCATCGAGCAGATCGTGTCAAACCATCTTTTGTGGTTAACTTTCTGCAGAGCAAGGATTAACAATTGTGAGTTGCAACCTTATGTGTGCTCTGAACTTGATTGGTCCAAAATTTGAGGCCTTTTCTGTTCGGGAGTTGTCAGACTTCAAATTGCTGGGGTAATTTCACAAGTAAAAGGCCTGATAAACGACCTCTGCTTGGATTGCAAGGTACTACCTTTTCAATTTAAGTACATACTTGTCAATCAGTGTCATTAGTCATGATCACCTCATTCCATGCATACTGCTTCTGTCACATTAGCATGCATGAGTACTATGTTGCTCAGTTCGTAGCTTTATCTAGCCTGGTCTGATGTTTTCCAATAAAATGGATCCTAGTTGTGCTAGAGACAGAATGTAGCTTACTTTTTCCTATTAACAAACACTTGATATTAGCAAACATACCATATAAAGTTACTCGTATTTCTTTAGCACAGAAGCACTCGGTGGCCTCAAATCTATTTAGCTATGAGTTTGTGCAAATGTCTGTCCCTTGTTTTAGCTATGAGTACCTCAAGCATGGTGATTGAACGCAGCTTGGACAATGCAGAGGATGGTTTCGTGAGAGCAGCCACCATTGAACTTCGGCCATTGAAGCTTGCAGACAGCTTGAGGAAAGAGAAGATGGAGATTGCAATCACATCTGTGGACGATGATAATCAGTAAAAAGCCCTCACTGACATCTTCTCATCTTCTAGTTGTGTAATATTTTTGCAGCTTGATTCTATGGCATGCTTCTGAGTAATATAAGGTGCTAGCTCACAATTTTTTTTCTTGCTCATGACGTGCTTAGACCTTGTTCAAAGGCACGCATATTAGGATGTTTCCGTGCTGCCTGAGATTGTACTATTACAAATGCTCCAATCAATTGAGCAATAATACAGTATAGAACATTGAAAGATTAAGGTGATCAAAACATTATTTCAAAACTAGGACCAGGAGGATAACATAAATTACACCCAAAAATTAAATATATATTCCCTCCGTTCCAAAATAGGAGTATATACCAACTTAGGATTAGATGAGACATTTATTCTTCGAATCTAGGCTGGATGAGACACAATTTTGAGTACTTTTAGGGTCTAGAAAATTAATTTACAATAATAAATGATGTCACCTAGAGATCTCCAAGAGATATCCAAACATGTTCCTAAAAATCTAATTTTGGAATTTTAAGTTTAAAACAAGTCTCCAACCGATACCCAAACTTGGTCCTAAAAATTAGTCATGCCTAATCCAGACCCTAAACTAAACTAGATTTGGGCAGCTGAAGCTCTGCCGATTCCGGTTGGGAATATCGGCAGGGGCAGGTTCCGACTCCGATTGTGAACTGGAGCTACCAACCAATAAATATGCAGCAGATGTATCGAGGTCAGGTTTTTTCATAACCAAATCACACGACAATCGATCGCAGGGTGCGCTTCCTGTCATCTGGATTTGCGAGCCAGCGATCATGTCAAGCTCTTCCGATCAAGGCAAGAAGAAAGCAACGGCGGCATCAGCAGCAGAGAAGGAAGGGAAAAAGCCGACGACCATGGCAGGCAGTTCGTCGGAAGGGAAAAAGAAGAAGACGACGGCGACGAAGAAGGAGTTGATGTCTCAAGCCGAGATTGATAGCCACATCCGGTACCAAACCGTGGAGTTTCGTGAGGAGGATGGTTAAGGTTGGGGATCATATGGATGAATACTTTGCTAAGATCATCCGTGATATAAACCGGATTGAATCAAGGCATATGAGAGCGAGAGACAATGTTCTGAAACAGTACTATGAGAAAGGCTATGTGGAGAAAGACGCTTATCAGAAAGGCTACGAAGCTGCAGGTGAAGATGAAGAATCGATCTGCAGGTAAAGATGGAGAAAAAACCTTACCTTCTGGTGAAGCTGATGGAGAAGAAACCTTACCTGCTGGCGACCAAGAATCCTCTCCTGCAGGCGCTGAAGATTTCCCTGCTCCTCATCCTGGTCAAAGAAGGTTTCGACCGGGTGTTTCCATCAATGGAGGAAAAGTTAACAAGCTGAATTAGCTACTAAGCGATGTGCTGATACACTTCGCTGATTAGCAGTCGAGTCGTTCTTTTTTTTTTTTTTTAAGATTTACCTACTAGTTGTCGTAGTATCTTCCTGTGTTGGATTATGGAACTCAATCTCAATTATCAGTTTTTGGTTTAATATTTCTTGTTTAGCATAACAGATCAGCATTAGCAGCAACACTGTTAAAATACTAACACAATATCTGAACGAAAACATCCTTTTCAATATAAAATACACGTTTTATCAGGCGCCTCAAGCCGTAGATTATCACCGTTTGTCATGATATAGCTTGGCTATATCATTTCTATAAGCCTAAAGATTTAATAGGATGCAAATCGGTTAAATCCGTTCCTAAGGAAGAAAAAAGTTGTCAACTCTAGCAATAGTTTGTTATTCTTCTACCAGATACAACTAAATAATATAATAAGTGCTATTGGTTTTGATGTTATTATCTCCTACGTCTACCTCATGTTTAAAGTACTAGTTTCCTAGAGAAAACATACCTAGGACATATCTTTAGCTTTCTCTGTCTTCTGGAGTTTACCCCACAGTGACAACGGTGGTCTGACCCAAGGTTTTTTTTTTTCCTTCCTGAAATTACCTGCAACTCAGCGTGTGCTACTACTATTCTGATCAGTTCTTTGGAGGACACGAACGATAGAAGCAGATAATGTAGCTATGTCTAATTATTCGTATTCAAATGAAAGCACCCACCTGTTTACTTATAGTATAGAAGTAACCAATGATATATACTCTTAGCCATTTGGTCGTCATTTTGCTGGTCATCATCATCATTGGTGAAGAAGTCATCTTCCTCCTCCTCATCATCATCGGACACGGGGTCATCTTCTTCGATCTTCACTATCAGTGTGGATAACTTCCCTCCAGCTATGGAGGAAACCATAGCCAAAATTCTCAATCTGTTGCCGGATCATTGCCTGGTACATGAGCATATCCTCGTCAAATGTCTCAAGTTCATCGTCCTCGTATGATAAGATAAAGTCCTGTTTGTCGTGAATTGGTGAACAGAAGATTGTTGACTATGTCATGATTTTTTATGGTGTCCAGAAGATTGTTACAAGTGAACATAAGTAGTCAGCAATGGAGTTGATGGCACCCATTCAGTGCCACTTATTAGGAAACTGAGCTTGCTTCTTGGAGCTGATCATGGTTCCTTGTGTTTTGCTTTCAAAAGGAAGTGAACAGGAAAGAAAAAGGGCAATCGCGATCCTGTTTGTCGTGAATTGGTGATGATTTATGACAATGGCAATGTATTTATAGGGGAGATATGTGATAGGGATCGTGTACAATATACGTACTCTCAAACTATTTAACATAATTTTACCCCGTGTGCATATATTTTTATTGTCCCATCGCAACGCACGGGCACCATACCAGTAAGTGATAACTACTCTATGGGGACCAACTAAGACCTGGTATATTAATTATGGGGGAACCAACTCAATGTATGCGAAGCTAAACTGAAAATATTATGTCTGATTGTCTCAAGCACACTGCCTGCCTGACTCATTCATTTCCGGTGTTGATCCTAGTTGCATTGGCATTTGGAGAAACAGATGGTAACAGGGTGCCATTCTCATATGACAATGTCAAAAAGTTTAGTCCATTGGAATCCTTATCATGCAACTCTGAATAATGTAGGAGAAAACATGTCAACAGAGATCAGCTTAGCTTCTTTAAATTAGGCCTAACATATTTCAGGCGAGCTTTTTGCAAGGGGTTCCAAATTATAACCTAACATTTTTCAGGTGTCCAAAAAAAAGCAGTCAACAGAACTACTACTGAAATTATCTCAGGGAGAGCAGTCAACAAAACTACTGATCTGTGACTTCAGTCTAGGTCACTTTCAGGTTCCCTGAACCATGATGATAGATCAATGCTGACCAAGATAAAAACATAGCACGACTAGAATCAAACCATAGCAGGAATCTAAAAGAGAACTATAGTCAAACCACAGAGTAGCACAGCTGTTATTATTATACTGATAAATGAAGGAGAAACTATAATTCCCCCTACACTACAACTAAGATGGATATGGACCAACACTGAACATGATCATTCAGTTTATATCTTTCTAATGTTTCCTCCTGACCGATTCTTCTTCACGGCTACCCCATTGCGGAACCTTCTGCGGCGGCCAGGGGGAGCAACTCGAGCAGGAACTTTATTATCTTCATCTTCATCATCATCTTCGTCATCATAGACCTCGTACTCGGCGTAGCCTTTCGTGTAGTATTGTTTGAGGATAGCATCCCGTTCCTCATGAAGATCGTCCCGTAGCTTCTCCCATCTAGCCTTGCGCTCTCCCCGGGTGTTCTCGAACTCTATCAAGCTGTCAAGAACCTCGGGCGGCACCCGATCGAGGATATCCTTGCTGAGCACCTCCGAGAGCTTGGGCAGGGATTCCTCGTCGTCGTCGTCGGATATGTCCGCACTGAACGCCATGCAGTTCTTGATCTGCTGTTGGGTAAAGCGCACCATCTTCGTCTTCCTCTTCTCCATCGTCGTCGGAGGCTTGCTATCTTCGTCGTCGGAGGTTAGTAGCGCCGCCGCCAAAATCCGCTTCGCCTCACTAAATTCTATCTTGGAGAAATCCATCACCCCGACGCCTGAAATTCCGTCACCATTGAAACCGAACCGAAAGAGCTAAGTCATTTGTATGATAATAATGATACAACATCGCATCAGATCACAACATCTGAATGAAAAAAGGTGCGGCATCTAATCCTAAGCCCACGAAGGCAAGGCCAGCTGCGCCCCTGATGAATTGTTCCCCTGAGTCTCCTCTCGATTGAGGCCCAAGACCCGATTGCGATAGAGTTATCGGGTTCGGGTAGATGCCGGAATATATATAGGCAGCGCAAGCGCAACTCCAACAATAACTCGGTTTCGGAATCGCTTCCGCGAATCGTCGGACCCGTTTGTTTTGTATCCGACTCCGAACCGAATAGGTTCCGGATTCGATGCCGTCTGTGACTGTGAGTGTGCCCGGCTGCCCGGCATACCAAACATTGGAGAAAAAGGACAATATGGCACTCTTTTTTCACGTGGTTTCGACAAAACGCCACCCATTAAAATGACAAGAATAAAATGCTACTTAATAGGTTGTTTTTAAAAATATTTTATCACTTTGAGTAGTTTTAAGACTACACTATAAATAGCCGAGCAATTATCGGCGTAGGATATGGGTGAAGTGGCCCTCGGCGCAGGCGGGCGCGCTCGGCACCGACCACGGCACCGACGACATTCGCGCCGCGTGCATCGCCGCGCTTCCGGCTGCGCGCGTCGCACCGCCGCCACACCACCGCACGACGCGGTAGACAAGCGCGCGTGCACAGGAGGACCCGGATCTACTAGCTAAATTTGTAGTTGGTGCATATGCATGGCAGCATGTCAAATTACCTTCGGGACTCCTCCCGACACGCAGAACGAAGCTTATATTATTGTATGATTAATTAAGCATTAACTTTTTTAAAAAAATTGGATTAATATGTTTTTCTAAAACAACTTTCATATATAAACTTTTTGTATAAATCACGCCGTTTAGAAATTTGAAAAGCGTGCGCACGAAAAACGAGAGAGATGGGTTAGTCATCTCCGTTAGGAGCGAGCTCGAGCGTCCCGGCGCCGCTGGCGTCAACCACGACGGCCGCGCGTGCTGGCTGCCATAGGGCCGGATCCGTACGCACGAACTACGTACGGCAAATCCACCATGAAAGAAGAAGAGTCAGAGTCGAACATGAGTCGCGCATCTCATGGACTCCTGCTGAACCTGAACTACGAGGTGATCCCGAATCCTACCTATTTCTGATCGACCCGGTGCTTCCATAAAAATTAAGAGCCTATATCCAAGGGAACATGTGAAATACAATGGCGAGCACATCCAAGGGAACATGTGATCAAAGCCAAATTCCATCGACAACGATGGATCCTTCCGATGAAGCTCCCTCGGGGAAAAAAAGTGACGGACAAATTCCGGCGCCGGCGCCGGTTACCTCCGATGAAGGCAAGGCGCCGGTGATGGAGAAGAAGAAGAAGAAGAAGAAGGCGAAGACGAAGATGGTGCGGTTTACCCAAGCGCAGATCAACAACTGCATCACGTACAAGGAAGAGGAGATGCCCGACTACGACAACATGCCGAGTATCATTGAGATCCTCGGCGACGACCTCGCGAATTGTCCTCAAGACTACATCGATGAACTCAAGGCGATCGACGACAGCCGAGAAGAGGACAAGGCTTTCTGGATAAAGATGCAGAACGAAATCCGGGGTGAACGGGAGGGGATCCTCAGGCAGTACTTCACCAAAGGCTATGCCGAGTACGAGGTCGACATCGACGACGACGACGACGACAAAGACAATAAAGTTCCTGCTCGAGTTGCTGCTCCCCTAGCCGGAGAAGGTTCCGCAATGGAGTCGCCGTGAAGAAGAACCTGTCAGGAGGAGGAAGCGTTAGAAAGATATGATGATTAATCATGATGTGTTGGCATTAGTTAGTGTAGGGAAGAGATATGCCCCAGTACATCAAAAAGTATCTCGAGATACCGTACCTCACGGTACCAAATTGTTTCAGCGAAGTTTAAATTTATTATTTAGGTTTAAATTTTGTTGAAAATGTTCAACGAAGTTCATCAAGGTTGATCTGAAATTTATTTAACAATTTTGTGTTTTTTTTCAAATTTGTGGTTAAATAATTCTATCCCCTTTGCTTTTTACAATGACTTTTTTCAACTTAGATCATGTTACATTTTGAAAAAAAAATTGCTGGTCAACCAGCAAAATGAGTACAGAGAAGATCAAGATGAAAACTCGATGGCGTGTAAGATATGAGGCAAAATTTGATGGACACATAAGGGATTGAGCAAATTTTTAAGGGCACAAATTAAATTTTCTCAATGATTAGAGATTTAACTACTCGAAAGATTTTATAGTTACTAGGAGATATTAAGAAGTGCCAAAATTTTGAGCGCAAATTGAATTAACTACTGCGAAATATTTATAGTTCCTAAGAGATATTAAGAAGTGCCAAAATTTTGAGCGCAAATTTAGTATCTCTCGGTAGATACCAAATTTTACACTATAAAGTATCGGAACTCTCAAGAACCGTAAAAGCACTTAA